AACGTCCGGGGACCGTCGGAAAAATCCCTTTGACTTAACATTGGACCAGACTTTGTGACCTCATAACTCTGCATCAGACTGTCACACAGACTTCTAACTGGGCTCATTTAATTCAGACTACCTAACTGCCAATACCTGATGAGCTTTTAACTTTCTGGCCACACCCTAGTAACCACTTTTGGGACCCTAGAAACTGTCCCATAGACTTCCATTCAAAAGACTGTCATTGACTTAACATTGGATCAAACTTTGTGAGCTCATAACTCTGCATCAGACTCTCCTACAGACTAATGGCTGAGCTCATTAAACTCAGACAACCAAACTACGAATAACTGACAAGCTTTTAACTTTCTAGCCACTCCCTAACAACCAGATACTGCACCCTAGCAACTATCTATCTATCTATCTATCTATCTATCTATCTATCTATCTATCTATCTATCTATCTATCTATCTATCTATCTATCTATCTATCTATCTATCTATCTATCTATCTATCTATCTATCTATCTATCTATCTATCTATCCATCCATCCATCCATCCATCCATCCATCCATCCATCCATCCATCCATCCATCCATCCATCCATCCATCCATCCATCCATCCATCCATCCATCCATCCATCCATCCATCCATCCATCCATCCATCCATCCATCCATCCATCCATCCATCCATCCATCCATCCATCCATCCATCCATCCATCCATCCATCCATCCATCCATCCATACTTTTTAAAACTGTTTAAACTAAATAAACTATTACCAACAGGCTTTCACAAGCCAGCCTCAAAGTTTGTCTCGACAAACTTTAATAATCTAGTTAACATTATAATAATTAACTAATTACATTAGTAACTAATTAACTTTACTTTATTCAGTAATTGGAATAACTATATTTATAGGAACTGATTACATTCAACACTGCTTTTAATTAGAGTAGATGTTGAAAACAAAGAAGCAAAACAATACTCTAATTACCATGAATCTGAATCGCTCTAAGAGGCTAAAAACACAAATACATTTTAATTAACTGCATTTTGTTTTTGTTTAATAATTTTAATAAACATTTTTTGTTTACAGAGGCTCTTTTACAACCATTTTTTCTCATAGCTGTGCTAAATACTATTATGAACATTATCATATTATGTTTTTTTTATGTTTTTTATCTTGGCATCAGTATCTCGCAGTGTTTCTCAGTGTTTTGCTAGGATTGTTGTAGGCACTTTAACAGGCGGCTCGTTTCACTTTTATTGACATTCGTAAATGTGCTTGGCTGAGAAATGAACGAGAAAGACATTTATGTGTTGCTTTAGTAAGAGATTTATGCGCAGTAAACGCTGACCTCAGAGCACAGCCAATCACACGAGCCGTCTGGATGATGTCACAGGAATCAGATGAGTCATCAGTCCTGCGGCATTCTGGGAAATGAAGTCACAGAGGTTAACAGACGTGTGCGTGTATGGAGGAAGAGTTAATGGATTGTAAAGGGGAAGGTCACCCTTTTCAATTAAAGGAAAATATTGCTTTATTGGCAAAGAGATCGGCTGATGCATTTTTTTTAATGCTTATGAATTCCCATTATTTATTGCTGCTGACCTGAAATATATTTTATAGTCTGATTTGAATGAACAGAATTAGCTTTTGACTTAAACAAGTGTTTATTAAACTAATCTACCCTGGCCGGCCACTTTATTAGGTACAACTGCTCGTTATCAAAAATTTCTAATCAGCCAATCACATGGCAGCAGCTCAATGCATTTAAGCATTTAGACATGGTCAAGATGATCTGCTGCAGGTCAAAGCGAGCATCAGAATGGGGAAGAAAGAGGACTTAAGTGACTTTGACCGTGGCATAATTGTTGGTGAAAGACGGGCTGCTCTGAGTATTTCAGAAACTGCTGATCTACTGGGATTTTCACGCATTATCATCTCTAGGGTTTACAGAGAATGCTCCGACAAAGAGCAAATATCCAGTGAGCGGCAGTGAGCTGGAATCGTTGGCGGTTCATTCCACTGTGTAGACGCCTAATTAATAAAGGGACTAAGCCGAAATGAAAATGAATAAATGAATAATGGGAAGAGAATTCAAAGTAGAGATCTGCACGGGACTAAATTTTGAATCCCGCTCACGCCAGGTTTTAGCCCGAACCCGACCGCTCCCGCTTATATTTAGCATTTGTTGTCCCGTTGCCCGCCCCATTTTCTACCCGTCGCGCCCGTTCCCGCTAACGGACGGGGGGGAGAACAAAACTGAAAACCACCCAGCTACACAGAGTACAGACAGCCTATAACAAGCTGTCTGTATAAACACACAAACACAAGCACAAGCATGTGACACACACACATACACACAGACAGCGTCTCGCTCTCTCTTTCATTTATACACACACACACACACACACACCTCTAATTCACAGTAACACTATATATACTTAACAATATTCGTTCATTAATTTTCCTTCGGTTTAGTCCCTTAATTTATTAAGGGTTTCCACAGTGGAATGAACTGCCATGTCAGGAATGTCTGTATAAAGGACCCAAAAGCAGAAGAGTTCAATTCAATAGAGTTTTTAATTAAATAAGCAAAAAGAAAATGGCTGTTTCTTAATATGCGTTCTTCAGCGGTCTTGCGTCCTCGTGTTCTCGTGAACGTCATCATCAGCTGCCCAAGTTCAGTTCCAATACTCAAGACCACAAGTACGGAGGACGCGTGAAACTTCCCGGATGTGTTCTTGATATCGAATGATGCAGACTTGAGCACCGAACTCGCTCTGGAAGTCCCAGAAGTCATTGCGAATGAAGGTGGGAAGCGCTGCATTTTATTTAGATTTATTATTAAAGTTCAGAGATATCACTTATTTACCTCAGGAGTTTCCCTAAATAAAACATTGAAAGTAAACATTACCATTGACATCTTAATAAAGAAATAAACACATTAAGGGTGTTTGTTTGCTGAAATTCGTATTAAAATCGGTTTTATTTATATTGTGCAGAGTATAATCATAATGTTTTTATGCAAAGTGTATATTTTGAAAAGGGGAAAAACTATAAATTGATGTATGAATGCTGTAATGTTTAAATAATTTACCATTTAAAACGCGTGAAGGTCATGTGACCATCAGGATGAATGCAGCATCTCATTTCTCACAGGACGCGTTCTCTGCCCTCGCGGTCTCCTGAGTTCGTTCTTCCCAGGACACCTGGCAAGACCGCTCTCCACAAGAACACAAGTCCGTTCTCTGCAATCTTGGAAATGGGAAACAGCCACTGACTCAGCAAATTGCTGAGATTCCAGAGCAGATCTTGGACTTTAGTAAAAAATACACAGTAGACTGGACCACAGGCAACGTGTAACAATACTGGAAAAATTCCAACAGAAATTAGCAGCACCACATGATTAAGAACATCAGGAGTGTGTGCTAAATTTCAGTCACAAATAAAGCTAGTCTTTGGTCCAGGCCTGGTGATGCAGGGAAAGGGCAATGGCAAGGATCAAATCTCTAGCAGGGCAGACCAAATCCAGAATGGCTCCAGAGAACTGGACAGAGAATACAGAGATAACAAACAACAGACCGACAAGAAGGCTGTAAGAAACCCAACACTCTGGCAAGAGGAGAAGCGATGCACCCTCAGATATAGGACCAGCAATCAGCAGAAATGAAGGTGGCAGTAAACAAGTGAGGCTACTAATGCCGACTTCAGACTGCATGATTTTCAAAGTAGTCGTGTCACAGATGTGTTCACACTGCTTGACTATCTGGGCTTGCGTTTCGTCGCTGCTTTGTTTACACTGCAAGATGGATCGACGACAGGGACTTTCCCATTGCATGACTTTACTATAGGAAGAATCGCCGACAACTTCGTCCAAACTACGTCTCACAGCCAAAAACACGTCGTATATCTTTTGTTATTAACTACATAATGAGAAAGAAGCCTTTAATGGGGTAGAAATGTACATGTTTGCTCACCTGGGTTTAAAGGGAATTAGCCATTTCTCCTTAACGCTGAGTCCTGTCAAACCTCCACTAGTTTTTCCTCCATTTTGTGGGTCCAAATAAACCGAAAATGAGCGCTTTTAACTTCTCCCCCAGCCTCCCGCTGGCCTGCAGCAGTTATACACACACGCACACACACGCAAGTGAATGCCGCTCTCTCATTGGCTGAAGGCGATCGCTGATGTTATTTTCAGTCAAAACTCAATTCACACGGCATGATCTGAATCGCCGACAGCTCCAGATTTTCAGCAAGCCAAATATCTCACAGGCATCTGCGACTCATCGGCGGTTCTCACAGAGCGCGTCTTTGATAGTTCATACTGTGTGATTGTCACTCACGTGCATGAACACCGATTTGCCTGTGATTTCAGGCATTTGTCGGCGATTTCTCAAAACCTGTCGGCGAGCCTAAATCGGGGCTAAAATCACGCAGTCTGAACTAGGCATAACTGGCAAAGATGATCAACTGTGTGAAGTTACACAGCAATTTGGAGACAAATGAGAAACTTTCATTAAGAAAAGATAGAAAACGCTGTCAGAAAAAAGAGAGAGAAAGCAAAGTTCAAACCCGGGTTCTGACACGCCAATTATTCCTGTATATGTTTTATCCAGTGGATGCCTTTCCAACTTTAACACATCACTGGGAAACACCCATACACACTCATTCTTACACACACTCACACACTTAGTTCATCAATTCCCCTAAAGCGCATGTGTTTGTACTGTGGGGGAAACTGGAGCACCCGGAGGAAACCTACACCAACTCGGGGAGAACATGCAAACTCCACATAAAAATGCTAATGGACTCAGCCGAGACTTGAACCAGCGACCTTCTTGCTGTGAGGTCACAGTGCTAACCACTGAGCCGCCATGCCACCTCACACCTACCATTGTACTTACTTGTTGCAAAGAATGTTGTAATTTTTTTTTTTGCACCTAACTTTGACAAAAACGTGTTTCATTGGGAGTGTGTTTGTGTTTGTGTGTGTATGTGTGTTTCAGGAAGGACCAGGAGAATGGCTGACTCTGGACTCTCAGGTTATCATGGCGGATAATGAAATTTGTGGCACCAAAGATCCAACATTCCACCGTCTGCTTCTGGACACTCGCTTTGAACTGCCGCTCGGTGAGATCTCTATATATTACAGCCATGAATACAAACCCTAGTAGCAAAGAATTCTGGCCCAGATTTGGCAAAAAGCTGGCACAGCAGGCATTCATCCGGCACTGGCATACAGCATGTGGGCTAAACATGGCCCGGGTTTGGCAGAGGTGGCACCGTTTTTAAGGCAGCACACAAAATTTGGGCCAGATGAAAAACGTAGTATTTGGCCCAGATTTAAAAATTTGATAAGTGGGCCATGTGAGTTTGGCCAGTCTTGACCCACATTTAAAATACACTAAAATCATTTTTGAGTAAAGAAAAAAAAAATCTACCAATCAGGTCACTTTGAGAAAAAGCGTGCCCATAGTGTGCCTAAAGCGCATCACTCCATGGGTTTATCAATTTCATTGCAATCGTGACACACCAACCTATCTGGCCCAGTTCAGGCCCAGTTATGAGTTATTAACTTGGCTGAGACTTGGCCCAGATATGGTCTGTGTTTGGCCCTTGTCTAGAAGCCAGATTTGGTCCAGTCATGTACCGTAATTCACTGCGGCATGTGGGCCAAGCAAAACCTGTTTGTGTGGGCCAGAGCTGGGCCAGAGAAATTTTGCTATGTGGGAACTGATTTGATTTTTGCTGCATGTTTATTAGCTTTAAACATCCCTTCAACTACCTGACAAAAGCCTTGTCGCCTATACAAGTTTAATGATAAGCAAATAATAACTTGACTTCTAGTTGATCATCTGAATAAACAAAGATAGGGCGCTGATCGCACACACTTACCAAATCTGTAGACAGGATAATCAGCACATACTGGAGCGGCGTCTTTTTTTTTTAAAAGAGACAAGCAGCAAATCCAGATCTCACCATTGATGAGAAATGCTCTCGAGTAAAAAATGTTCCAAACAAACGCATTTCTGCTGCGCGTCGCGATCACTGATCCACACGTGAGTCTAGCAGCGTCTCATAGAGAAAAAATCAAACAAAACCTTCACATGATGAAAGCAACACTGGCGACCCGTATCTCCAAACAATTCCTATTCTTTTCCCACAACTTTTGGCAACACGACGTGTGTGGTCTCTCTGCCGTCTGAACACTGTTTCAGGTGCAGTCTAAGAAAGCTAGCATGCATATTAATGAAGTTGCAGCGCATACATAATGGAGTGCGCTGATTGGTTTGAACCAAGCCACACTCATGAATGAATGCAACACACTCAGAGACGTAATACGGGACTCCAGGTACAGACGTCCAGTCTGCACGCTGGAATACACGCTATTATCTCATGACCGTGACGCAGCTTCAGAAATTCGTTTCAAACCGGAAGTACGAATTTGCTTGAAATAATGCAAAAACAACCAATTTACACTTTTTAGTGAGATATATGTGTCCTAATAGTGTTTTTAACAGTGTGGGACACATATACCACTGTCAACAGCTCAACACATGTGCTCTGGTGTTTCATGACCCTTTAAAATAGTGACTTGTAATGTAAAGTAAGTAAGTAAGTGTAGCCGGGTGGCAAATCAAGACACAAAACAAGCATGTAAAAGATTGCTTTAAATGGGGGTTTTATCTGACTCCTGTTTAATAAGAAAATATTACAGCGGTTGAAGGGAGCACAGCGGAATAAGCTCCTTGAAAACACTTTTTCCCAAAAAATAACAATAATAAATAATCCTGAATAGTTATACAGAAATAAAACTCAAAATCCTACTTTTATGCAAATCTCAATAGCACAATGGTAAGAAAAATGCAAGAGCACTAAACTTCGGGTACTATAGTGCCCCAATAAATAAAAATATGTATACAAAAATCGAATACAAAAATGCTTTCTTTATCCTACACTGAAATACGGCAGTGCTATTGTACAAAAAAAGAAATAAAAGCATGTTAGCACAACCAATTTAACCTTATATCACACAATTTGAACATTTTCAATGAAATATACATTATACACACATGTATCACCACACAAGATACCTTATTTTATAGGACAACAATAATACTCTATCAAATTCCGAGAAACAGTAAATAAACTTAGTATATAACATGAAATAATAAACTTACATCAGAAATCCTGATTACTGTTCAACATGGAGTCCACTATATTGTACACAAGCCAAGTCATCTACAAAGATGTGCAAAATCAAGGTCCATTAAATGTCATCTTTGGGTTTTAACAATTGTATAATAAAGTTAGGAAAGTATTTACCCCAAAACAACGCTTTTCCACGACGATCACAGCTCGTCACACACAACTCACCACGATGCAATCATGGCTTCTCTGCTCAGTCACGCAGGTGTGTGCACGCGCCTGCCCGCCAACACACACACATATCGCGAGACAAGGACGGACTTTTCTTAAAGGGGCCATGGTCCATTTTCAACATAACATATAAGAACTGGATTTATCCCTCTGGCCACATAAGTAAAGTTTATTTATAAAGCACATTTACTTCAGTTTGGCACTGACCAAAGTGCTGAACAAAACCATAGCACACACTCTAAAAGAGTAAAAGATAACAATAAAAGTAATAATAGGAATAAAAGTATTACAGCAACAACCACAATAAAGATTAAAAGCCTGGGAATGCAATAGAATAAAAATGTGTCTTAAGTCTGGACTTAAAAATAGAGAGAGAAGAAGCACTTTTAATATCCGGTGGTAGCTGGTTCCACAAACGAGGAGCAGCGACTGCAAAGGCTCTATCCCCTTTCAGTTTAAGTCGTGACCGAGGAACTTGAAGTAAAATTTTATTTGTGGACCTAAGAGACCGAGGAGTTGACTGTAAGTTAATAAGCTCTGATATATAAGAAGGTGCTTGCCCATTCTGTGCTTTAAAAACAATAAGTAAAATCTTGAACTGAATTCTAAAACTAACAGGAAGCCAATGAAGGGATGCTCAAACTGGTGAGATATGAGCATGTTTTTTGGTGCCTGTTAAAAGTCTAGCTGCCGCATTTTGAACCAACTGCAACCGTGCCAATGAGGATTGGGGGAGACCAACATATAGAGAATTGCAATAGTCTAGGCGGGACGTGATGAAAGCATGTATGACCTTTTCCAGATCTTGAAAGGAAAGAATGGATTTGAGTCTGGAGATGATCCTCAGCTGATAATAACTATTCTTAACCACTGAGCTCATTTGTTTTTCTAGACAAAGCAACACACGAGCACACGTTAATAAGGCTAGACCTAGTACCGTTCATCCATGGCAATGTTTTTCTTCCAGCATTTTGGACTATATAAAGGAAAGACCCTGTAAAAGTCTTCTTTTTTCTTTCTTTCTGTTCTTTCAGATTGAAAATTGTTGATATGTCTGTTGCTCCCCCTCCCCTGTTTGTTTGTTTGAATGTCTTTTATTTTGTTGATCTAAAGTTTTGCATCCTGGCAGAATAAAACAATTGATTTCAGTCACTGAGAGCTATTAAAGTAACAGCGCTGCTTTTTACCTTCCTCAAACAAGGTGTTCAAGCCTCAGAGGAGCCGACAGCAGTGTCTGTGTTCTGAACAAATGAGGTCTTGTTCTCAAAAGCGCTGTGTTCAGCAGAAATACACCTGAAACTCAATATAAATGACCTGCAGTCGCACAAGAAACATCATTTCTCAAAGCTGAACCATCTGCTTTGAGTCTGTGCTGCTTTACTGTTTATTCTTAAGAAAATATTTAATTTTATAAATAACAAAGAGACGCTCTGATGACACGAAGGTTAAATCAACATCCAGAAATTGCTTTATGTAGCATGTTCATTGAGAAGACTGCTCTTCTTCTGTGTGTGTGTGTGTGTGTGTGTGTGTGTGTGTGTGTGTGTGCGTGTGTGTGTTTCCTCCACAGATATCCCAGAAGAAGAGGCTCGATACTGGGCCAAAAAACTGGAGCAGATCAACGCCATGCGGGACCAGGATGTGAGATTATTTTGCAGAAATCAAAACAAAATTGGTCACATTTCATCATTCAATTTACTATATAGTGTAAAATAAGCTACTGGTAGCCCAAAAACAAAATACACAACATTTTAGAAATGTGCTTTAGTTCCTCTCAGTCAAATACTTTACATTTAAGATGAATTAAATATATCTCAGCCTGCCTGTCAGAAATTTCACACTTGATGAAAGATCATCATCTTCAGCTTAACCTCATGAAAACGGAAATGCTAGAAGTTTCTGCCAACCCGACTCTACATCATAACTTTTCAATCCAGATGGACGGGGCAACCATTACTGCATCCAAAACGGTGAAAAGCCTTGGAGTAACGATTGATGACCAACTAAACTTCTCTGACCACATCTCTAGAACTGCTCGATCGTGCAGATTCGCACTCTATAACATCAGTAAGGTCCGACTCTTCTTATCTGAACATGCAGCTCAACTCCTTGTTCAAGCTCTTGTTCTCTCCAGACTGGATTACTGCAACTCTCTACTAGCTGGGCTTCCAGCTAACTCTATCAAACCTCTTCAGCTGCTCCAGAACGCAGCAGCACGAGTGGTCTTTAATAAAGCTAAACGAGCACATGTCACTCCGCTGCTCATCCGTTTGCACTGGCTGCCAGTTGCTGCTCGCATCAAATTCAAAGCTCTGATGTTTGCCTACAAAGCGACTTCTGGCTTTGCTCCTGCTTATCTGCTCTCACTTCTGCAGATGTATGTGCCCTCCAGAAACTTGCGTTCTGTGAATGAACGTCGCCTCGTGGTTCCATCCCAAAGAGGGAAGAAATCACTTTCCCGAACTCTCGCATTCAATCTGGCCAGTTGGTGGAATGAACTCCCTAACTGCATCAGAACGGCAGAGTCACTCGCTGTCTTCAAGAAACCACTAAAAACTCAACTATTTAGTCTCCACTTCCCTTCCTAATCTGCAATTCCCTCATTGGCTATAACACTAACTACTCAAAAAAATATATATAACTAACATATAACTTACTTAAATAAAACTTACATTACTAATATTTTGCTCCTTACACTTTACACACCTGAAACTTGCCTATAGCACTTATTCATGTTGCTCTTATAGTTGTGTTAATTGCTTCCTTCGCTTTGGATAAAAGTGTCTGCTAAATGACTAAATGTAATGTAAATGTACCATAAACTATAAAACACTTCTCAGTGTCTTTGCATTTGCTCTTAGAATATGAAACAATTTTATTTTTTATTTTCACTTTTCACAATACACTGATTTATAGAAGAAACTCATTACACATAGTAAAAAAGTGGTGTGTGTAATAGTTTGTGCATGTGTTGTTCTGTTATCACTGCTCTGGTAGTTTATAATGTATAATATTAGCTTTGCCTTCAGCATTTATATGTGGTTTCTAATGAGTGTGTGTGTGTGTTTGTGTGTTTGTGTTTGTGTGTGTGTGTGTGTGTGTGTGTGTGTGTGTGTGTGTGTGTGTGTGTGTGTGTGTGTGTGTGTGTGTGTTTTGTGCTTCAGTATTCATATCAGGAGGTTCAGGAGAGGCCTCTGTCTGTGCCGGGATCACAGTGCTGTGAGTTTCATAAAGTCGACATGCATGAACTATACCTTAAATCATCATCACATCAGACAGAATCATTTCTCCAAATCTAAATATTTTCATGCAAATATTAGTAAGCATTGCTGACTGAATGACACTTTTCTTTTACATATATACAGTTGACGTCAGAATTATTCACCTTCCTCTGAATTTTTTTTATTTTCCAAATATTTCCCAAATGATGTTTAACAGATTTTTCACAGTATGTCTGATAATATTTTTTCGTCTGGAGAAAGTCTTATTTGTTTTATTTCGGCTACAATAAAAGCTGTTTTTATTTTTTTAAAGCCATTTTTAGGACAAATTTATTCGCCCCTTTTTTCGTTAGTCTACAGAACAAACCACTGATATACAATAACTTGCCTAATCACCCAACTTTACCCTAATTAACCTAGTGAAGCCTTTAAATGTCACTTTAAGCTGAATACTAGTGTCTTGAAGTTTATCTAGTCTAATATTATTTACTGTCATCATGGCAAAGATAAAAGAAATCAGTTATTAAAAATGACATACAGTATTAAAACTATTATGTTAGAAATGTGTTGAAAAAAGAATTCTCTCTGTTAAACAGAAATTAAGGGAAAAAATATACTTGGAGGCTAATAATTCTTTAACTGTGTATATATATAAATATATTATTAGCCCCCCTGTATATGTATATAAAACATGTTAAACATCACTTGGGAAATATTTGAAAAAACAATTACAATTTAACATGCAAATATTTTTTCTTTCAACTGTGATCTATATATGTAGTTTGTTTCTTTGTATTACTCTCTATTCTAATGGTTATTCAGTTTTAGGTTTTTCAATGATTTAATATCAAAAAATGAAAAATGTTTCTGAGCAAAAATAAAAATGTAATATATTTTCTTTAGTTTTAGTCAACATTAATTCTGCTCCAGGTAACAGAAATGTCTTTATGTTTTTATTTTAAGTTTTGTTGCAGTAGTTATGACTAGGCCCACACGGAATCTGTGCGCGCAGAATTTCGCAGATTTTCCGCAGATTTTCCGCAGATTTCTGAAGATTTTTAGCCCATTATTAATTCTGTTTATTACCTTGAATAAATGTGTAAATCTAAATTGATTAAGTTTTTATTCAGTAATTTATTACTTTTTATTTCATATATTAAGCAGGGCTCAACAATAAGGACTGCCCGGTGGCCCGGGGCCAGCGTCAAAGACACTCGGGACAGTAGACAGGATTGCTACTGGCCCCTATCGGCCAGTAACGATAAGCACGTTTTTTTTTGTTTTGTTTTTTTTGTAACCTGGTAACAACCAGTACAGCGAAAAGATGGCAACATGGCGGCAAAATTAAACAATGAGGCTAAAAGAAAACGTCTGTTTCTAAAGTCTTAGAAGTAGACAATTACATGGGTACAAAATTAAGAAACTGAAAAATAAATAAATAAATAAATAAAACAGTTGTCAGTTTGGCAAGCCATTTTTATAATAATTATTTAGAATTGCATTAAAACACCAGCACATTTTTCATACTGCTCTTTCATTTGCATAAAATCTTGAATTTTGCTCATTATACATTTATTAACATATTTAAAATGTTTAAATTCTAGATTTACAGGCATAATTTTGCCACTATTTAAAATATGTCTCGAAGAAATAGCTATTAACTTTTTAGTTTTTTTGGTGGGGCCAGTGAAAATTTTGGCAGGGCAAGTAAAAATCTCAACCAATGGCCCGATTGGACCCGTACAAAAAAATCCTTAGCGTTGAACCCTGTTAAGGTTTTAGTTTTGATACTCCGCTGGATACTCCCAAAATAATTCCGCAGATTTTTACCAAAATTCTCAGCAGAAATGGCAAAAAACATCCGCAGATTCCATCTGGCCCTAGTTATAACTCCTGGATCATCTACTTATAAGCACACATGGTTTCTGATCATCATTTTTCAGTGCATTAGATCATATTTCACAGTTCGATCATATCATCTGAACCACTAAGGGCTGCAGGTCTGTGTTAATGGGATTTATGAATGATGCTCATCAATGGCAGAAAGTCTCACTGAAAGCTGAATGAGCAGCAGTGCATGAATGAAACTCTCACACCAGTCTTTCACACACACTCTGCTGACTCGGCTCCAGTGGGCAGGGCTTCACTGAGGCAGGCTTTTATTGGCTGAGCCATACATCAAGGGCTCCTCATTGGATGACGGCTAGTAGTGCTTCTATTTAAATCACCGAACACAGTCACACTGATACTTTAATTCAATTCAGCTTTATTTGTATAGCGCTTTTACAATGTAGATTGTGTCAAAGCAGCTTCACATAAATGGTCATAGTAACTGGAACAGTGTGGTTCAGGTTTTAGTGTTTAAGTTCAGTTCAGTTCAGTTTAGCTCAGTTCAGTGTGATTTAATCATTACTTTACTGTCCGCATGAAGCAGACGCTGCAAACAAAAAACTGACAGCTGGATGGGCGTGGTTAAGTATGTTAGCCACACCCAATACCTCAGACAGAGCTAATCCAAAGAGCATAGAATCACCAAGAGGCGACACTCTAGTGCGATTTGGGGAACAGCCACTAGATGGCGTTTAGAGTCCATTTTGGAATGAAAACTCCAATAGAACAACAGCATATTATAAATCTGTAAAATAAACTAATAAAAGTGCTGATGATTGTGATATTAAGTGCTGTATTGTCGTCTTTCAGGTTGTATCTCAGCTTTAATGTGCTTTTTAAATAAATAAATAAAAAACAAAGCAGCTGCTTGCCATCGCAACAGCCAATAAGATCCAGTGGACAGCCGATCGCTTTCACTCCAAGTGCATTTTCAGATTTCAATTTTAGATTAATTAATGCACAGATACATTGTTCACCACAAAACATGCAATGTGAGCTAACACAAGATGAGATACCATAGAAGTTAATGGTTACCGGTTTCCAGCATTCTTCAAAATATCTTCTTGAGTGAGTACACGATGACAGAATGTTCATTTTTGCGTGAAATATCTCTGTAATGCTTCACAGTTGTGATTGAGAAACTCATTGGGTCATCAGCCAAACCATTACTTTAAACTCATTAGTTTTACTCATTTGCAGTGCATTGTGGGTAATCTTTTCTCTCTCTTCTCTCACAGGTAACTGGTGGGGTGACCAGCAGAGTGAGTTTTCATATCTGTCATTATAAGCTCTGTAATCTGACACCTGCTCTTCTGTTGCCTTTGTTATCAGCTTTATATGTTTAATAAACCATTATTAGCTTCTGTTCTGTGCACTCCGGCTGGATGAACACACTCATATCTCATGAAATCAAGCAAGTCATTCATTGCAAGTCCTGGAGTGCACTGTTAATAAAAGCAATAGACGGCATAATTAGCATGCTTTGAAAGTGGAGTTGTTTTAAAATAATTTATTATTTTTATTTATTTATCATTAATTAAATAGTGTATTGGGCAACGCGCAGTAGGTAGTGCTGTCGCCTCACAGCAAGAAGGTTGCTGGTTCGAGCCTCGGCTGGGTCTGTTGGTGTATCTGTGTGGAGTTTGCATGTTCTCCCCGCGTTCGCGTGTGTTTCCTCCGGGTGCTCCGGTTTCCCCCACAAGTTCAAAGACATGCGGTACAGGTGAATTGGGTAGGCTAAATTGTCCATGGTGTGTGTGTGTGTGTGTGAGAATGGTTGTGTGTGGGTGTTTCCCAGTGGTGGGTTGCGGCTGGAAGGGCATCCGCTGGATAAAAACCCGCTGGATAAGTTGCTGGTTCATTCCACTGTGGCGACCCCGGATTAATAAAGGGACTAAGCCGAAAATAAAATAAATGAATGAATAAATAATGTATTTATTAATCAGGCAATATGGTGGTTCAGTGGCTAGCAGTGCCGCCTTACAGCAAAAAGGTTGCTGGTTCGAGTCCCGGCTGGGTGTTGGCGTGGGTTTCCACCGGGTGCTCCAGTTTCCCCCACAGTCCAAACACATGCGCTATAGGGGAACTGATCAACTAAATTGGCTGTAGTGTATGAGTGTGTGTGTGTGTGTGTGAATGAGTGTGTATGGGTGTTTCTCAGTACTGGGTTGCAGCTGGAAGGGCATCCGCTGTGTAAAGCCTATGCTGGAATAGTTGCCGATTCTTTCCGCTGTGGCGACCCCTAATAAGGGACTAAGCTGAAGGAAAATAAATTAATTAAATCTGCAATATTTTATCTTTACTTTGAGATGCTGAGAAGCAAAACTAATACATGAAAAAATGTGTGTTTCTATTCATTGTCTATAGACAATGATGCAGACAGTGCGATGGATGACCGAGACAGTGATTACCGCAGTGAGACCAGTAACAGTATCCCACCACCGTTCTACTCCACGTCTCAACCCAATGCCTCAGTCCACCAGTATCCCATAAACCACCAGCACCGAAACCCCAGAGCACCGTACAGCCGAACTATCAACAACTGTGAGCTGGACTACGACCAGCAGAGAACCGTCAGGTAAGACCCCAAGACACACTCATATACAGCTGAAGTCAGAATTATTCGCCCTCCTGTGAAATTCTTTCTTTTCACACAATTTCCCAAATGATGTTTAACAGATTCAGGAATTTTTCACTGTTTTTCCTAGAGGTGTGAAGCTACACTGGTCTCACAGTTCGGTTTGGTTACGATTATCATGCCATCGATTCTGTTCAAATCGATATCTCAGTGCATCACGGTGCATTGACGAAACTTTTCATTCATAATTAGATTTTTTCTTCACAACATAAGAATTTTTTTAATATAAAAATCCATAAATATATATTTATTTTTATATATTATAATACAATTTTGTCCTTTAATACAGAACTCAGATATATGAACTATACCCTTAATTTGACCTGCTCAAACTGAACGCTCTTTCTGAATGTATCAAACAAAACTCCAACACATGCACAGACAGCATGAGCATTTACAGCAAATAAACATATATGTAAATATGATCCCGCTTGCTTTTTGAGCCCTGTCAAGCGAAGTCTTACACCCCTATGACTGGTCATTGTCTTCACCCGCTCAATAGATAGGGCTCCGCTGTTCACCGATGAGTGACGCTGGAAGAACAGCCGCGGTTACAGTCTATATGCGCATAACACACAGTTCCCCTTCGGTTGGGGAACTTCAGTGCCATGAATGGGAGGATTCGGATCAGAAGCCGCTTATCTGGAGAGTATTGAACGGGCCAATGAATGAAATTAATTGGCAGCGTAAGCTTGCGCAGGTGTGCGACATCTGCAATTATCTCAGCATATAAGCACACCTGAAGCCAGCAGACGCCATCCTTTTCGCTTCAGATCCTTTCTGAGTGAGTCGATGAGGGTTCCTCTTGCTGATCAGCACTTCAGAGCGAACGAGTGTGTCTCCCGGTCCAGAGTGGGTCTTCGCGGTGGCAGACGGTCGAGCTGGGTTACTCCCTTGCCTGCGGTTCTTTGGGTCCGGTCCTCCAGAGCGGTGCGTATAGTTGCAACTTTCCTAAAAGAGCAACACAGTCGTGCAGCACGTCCTTTTCAGGATGGCGCTCCGACTGTGCGTTTCTGGATGCGGGGGTTTCCTGTCACCGGATGATGGACACGATCACTGCATTGCATGTTTGGGGGTCCAGCATGTTAATGCGGTGCTCGCGGGCGGTTCATGTCGTCATTGCGATGCCATGACCGTTGCACAGCTAAGATCGCGGCTAACTTTCGCAAGAGAGCGAGCCACCCCAGTTGCCTCCTGCTCTAAAAAAGCAGCGGGCGCTCGGGCAGATCTGAGGGTTTCAGCGGGAGCTAATCCGCCGCCCACGGGCTCGCGGACCTCTCGCTCCTCACGGCGCTCCATCCAAGCTTCGGGTGGTGAGAGTGATCCGTCTAACCAGATGGTAGCTCTCACACTCGCTGACACCGGAGATCAGATGTCCTCCGCGGCATCGGAGGGTGGGCTTTCACTGTCCGACGAAGATCCGGACCCGCTCGCCCCCTCCGGGCAGGTGAGCGCTGTCAAATCGGATCCTGAAGCGGACATGTTAGCCGTGCTTTCCCGGGCTGCTTCGGCCGTGGGGTTGGAGATGGTTTATCCCCCAGCTCCGCGGCCGGACCGACTAGATGGGTGCTACGTAGAGGACCAGAAGGCGAAGCCTTCGAAGCCTCTCGTCCCCTTCTTCCCGGAAGTGCACAGTAGGCTCACGCAGTCCTGGAGGGCACCTTTCTCTGCCCGTGCTGCGAGTGCCTCCGCCCTCACCGCCCTTGACGGCGGAGCTGCCAGGGGGTATGAGGCGATCCCGTCAGTGGAGCGCGCTATCGCGGTCAATCTTTGTCCGCGTGGCGCCTCTACGTGGCGGGGTTTGCCCCGCCTCCCGTCCAAAGCCTGTAGGTTGTCTGCCTCCCTCGGAGCCAGAGCTTATAAGGCTGCGGGCCAGGCTGCTTCTGCTTTGCACGCGATGGCCACCTACCAGCGCTACCAAGCGCAGGCGCTGGCCGAGCTGCACGAGGGCGGGTCCAACCCAAGCTTATTACATGAGCTGCGCACCGCGACCGACTATGCTCTTCGGACTACTAAGTCCGCCG